ATTAGGAAGCAGGCTCCCTGCTGAGCAGAGAGCCTGATGCGGGGCTCGATCCCAGAACCCTGGGATCATGACCTGAGCGAAAGGCAGAGGCTTTAACCCACTGAGCCACCCAGGCGCCCCTATTTCTCCTTTTAAAAGCATTGGCTGGAAGCTTTCTGTGAGTCCTCACACCTGCACTGAACTGTTCCTTCTAAGTAGGAGTCGGAGTGCTGTGTGGAGAAGAACATGGCCTTCCACAGGGGCAGCTGCGGCATCGCTCTTGTGACGAGTCCGCCATCTTTCACATTTATCTTATCTGCTTCGAACATTCAAACTTTTTAGCCATTGGCTTCAAATATTAAGCAGATATTATACCACCAACTGGTATCTTTTTTTAAAGATTTTATTTATTTACTTGACAGAGAGAGATCACAAGTAGGCAGAGAGGCAGGCAGAGAGAGAGGGAGAAGCAGGCTCCCTGCCGAGCAGAGAGCCCGATGCGGGGCTTGATCCCAGGACCCTGAGATGATGACCTGAGCCAAAGGCAGATGCTTAACCCACTGAGCCACCCAGCTGCCCTGCACCAACTGGTATTAAACTAGAAATTGACTTTTCTCCCTTTCTCTTTTTTTTAAGCAGGCTCCATGCCTGACACTGGGCCTGAACTCTCAGGATCCTGAGATCAAGAGTCAGATGCTGTACCAACTGAGCCATCCAGACAGCCCCCTACCCTTGACTTTTTTTCTTTTTAAACTTTCAGGTAACGTTTGATCCGGAGGTCTTTTTCAACATCCTTCTGCCTCCCATAATTTTCCATGCTGGCTACAGTCTAAAGAAGGTAAGAGATTTTTGCCAGTATTTCTTAAAGCACGGGAATCTCTATGTTAACGTACCTACATAATTTTCTAGTTTTTCCTTCTCCCACATTGCTTATTACTGTGTTCTGCACCCACTCAGTGACTATAGTTGTCTCATCATCCATGATTCATCTGTTTTAAAATCAGGAGCGCTCCTACGTCGCCGGTAGGAATGTAAACTGGCGTGGCCACTCTGGAAAGCAGTTTCATGGTTTCTTGCAAAACTGAAGTTGAAACTACCACACGACCCCATGGTTTTTTTCCTGAGGATTTCCTCCCAGAGGAATGAAAACTCACATTCACCCGGAAGCCCATACTTCATTGCTCAGAGCAATTTAATTCATAATCGCCCCAGTCCAGAAACAATCAAAATGTCATGCCATAGGTGCATGGTGAAATACATGGCCATACCTCAAAGACGTTAGGCTGAGGGACAAAAAAAAAAAAAAAAAAATCTCACCTCAGAAGGTCACGTACTGTATGATTTCATTTATATAGTGTTCTAGGCAGGACCAAAGTATAGGGATGGAGAACAAAGGGTGGGTCCATGAAGCTACATATATGATAAAAGAACACAGAACCATTCACACACTTTGTCCCAATGTCGGTTTTCTGGTTTTGATCTTGTACTATGGCTTTATGAGGTCTAACCGGTAGAGGAAACCTGGTGAAGGTACACGGGACCCCTCCGTACTATCTTTGCAATTTCTGTGAATCTGTAATGACTCCAAAATAGAAAGTTAAAAAAAAAAAAAAAAGGCTATCCCTCTGTATCCTACTCTCCCTCCAGATTTAGGTTTTCTGGACCAAAGGGTGTATCCTTTTTCTGACCGCTCTCTGGGGTTCCGGAAGTGTGTAAATCTGTATGGCAGTGATTGACACGTGACAGGAGGTGATTTTATGGTTTTAAGTAATGTTATCCTCTATGTAAGTGAAGAATTTGGGAACTCCGTATCAGGGCGAATGGGTGATAAATAGTTTGGTATCTTAAATAACTAATCTTAATGTATCATCAAGGTCATAGTTGCTTTAAAATGAAACCAAATCACTGGTTGTGAAAGCCATTCTAAGGGCTGAGAAATACTTCAGGTTCAGCAGAGCCTTCCCTGTGTCAGTCTTATTTTCCCAGAAGAAAAACAAATAACAGGCTTTGCCAGTTAGCAATTTAAGTTGTTTTTGAAATGCCAGTATTTTGGGCTATCTGCTCTTAGTTCAGTCTCTTTCCTTTTTAAATAGTCCTTACAGTGGCACTGAAATAGTGGTTCTTATAGGGTTTTGCCATCTGTAATTAAGACTGCCGTCATTTAAGCGTGTAATAACCATTCCACCACTTCGCTGTGGGTATGGAAACAGATACATTCAGACCCTTTGACCTATGCACGTGTCGTTGTCATGTGGACACGAGCTTTTTTTTTTTTTTTTTTTCTTTTTCCAAACTTGAAAAAATATCATTGGAATCAGCTTCGATTTTGTGCTACCGCTCCATTTGCTTCCAGGGCCCATTGTCAGGGAAAGAATTCACCTATAGAAGCCTTCATGTCTTGTGAACTTCTCCTACCAAACTCTCTCTTGGTCTCTGTCTCTCATTCTCTCTGTCTCTGAGTCTCTGTGTCTCATGGTAATACTCGCCAGTGAGGAACGGGAGGAGTAGAAATACAAGTCTTAGAATGGTACACCTTCTCATCCTGATCTGTCTTGGGCTTGTATTCTTGAAGACTTTGCCAGGGCTATTCCATCTCCTTTGTCTCTTTTTGCCATCCTGAAATGGAGAAGGAAAAGTAGGGCAGACTAAACCAGTCATGGCCACAGAAGCCGCACATGACCGGCCAATTAAAAAGAAGATGAAAGACCTAGGATTCTACTAGCACCCAGGACTCAGGACTGGGAAGTGCTATACTTTCCTCCCAAAAAGGGTGTGGTAGGAGTCGAGAAGGGTGGCTGGTGCAGTGAGTGTGATTCCCTGGAAAGACCCGCTTTCCAGGTCTGGTGCTGCCATTTGGTGGATGCGTGACTCTGGGTGCCTCACACTGCACCTTTGAGCCTTAGATGCCTCTCATGCACAGTGGTCCCCCGAGCACCTTCATGTTGGGGTAACTGTGACAATTGGAGCTCCTCTGTGTGAAAGTCCTTCATACACTGTGAAGCAGAGAGTCAGTGCTAGGTGTAGTAATACACAAGTAAGTGACAGGGTCTACCTTTCTTGCCAAGGCATAAAATTCCAGTTCCTATCAACAAATATGAATGGCGATGGGTAATTATGTGTGTATGTGTCTTATGTGTGTGTGTGTCATTTTAGAATATGTTATGGGTGTATTTGGACTGGCAGATTTATATTCCTAATTTGTGTGCATGTGCATGTGTAAGTGCTTTTATTTATATGGGTCAAAGATATCTTTGTATATCAACAAATACACATTTAAGATAACAGTTTCAAAGGCTCTAGTTCATTATCACAAATCATTCAAATATCTGTCGTTGCCCATTTAAAATATTTTCACTTGTTGATTTTCAAATAAATTTGTGATGGAAATCACCCTCACATGTGCCCTGGAACAATCTCTGAGATGAACAAGACTGTGAGAGAGTCACTGGGCAGTGTGGAGTCAGCTTCTCAGATGTGCGCACTGACGCCGAGCCCTCCTTTCAGTGCGGGCCCGCCCAGGCAAAGACACATGTGGCACGGCGGCCACGTGGTCTGGTGTCTGTGCACAGGCTGTCCACTTCACTCTCCATTGGGACCCTCTGGACCTGAGCATGGGGACTCGCTACACAGACCACGAATGCTAAAAGCAGATTGCTCCATGTGCAGCCAACACTTGCACCCACCTGCACACTGGGGCCACTTGGCTCCCCTGCACAGCCACACTGCAGCCAGGAAGGCCTCCCAATGATGCTGGTCCTCCTGCACCCGCAGTCTCCTGGCCAGTCCTGCCCCTGGCAGGCCTGAGAGCTGTAGTGCGCACCTGATCCTGCCCCCCACTCCCTGCGTCTGCACCCCTCGACCACCCACAAGATCCAGATTCTCCGCAAGCCCACGAACTAGGGCTCAGGTTCAGCTCTACCTGCAAACAGTCTGAAGCACAGACCCATCTTTCCACTAACATGTGCACTATCCTCTCCAGGGGGGTCCTGGACCTCCCTCATGCCCAGGTCCTTCCAGCCCAGGAGCTTGCACAAGGGCACCAAAGCGTGCAATCTGCATTGCCCCTTGCTCCCACACCCAGCCTGGGGACCAAATCCAGCATGTCCTAAAATCGAGATGCCCTCGAGCATGGCACCGGGGACCAGGGCCTTCTCAACAAATACACAGAGATAATAAAGTCTCCACCAGGCTCTAGTCTGAACCCCCTTCGTCCCTGGGCCCCCACAAACACTACCAGATTTTCGGCAGCCCACACTCCCTGAGAACCAACCTTCCAGGAGGAGAATCTGCAGCTCTTACATTCCTGATTTTTTGTTTTGGCAAATATGAATATGAATTCACTTAATGGACTCGAACCACCCGTCGAGATGGTTCACCTAAACGAGAGCTGGGCGGCGAGGGAAAGCAATTCTGGCATTCAGATCTGTCCCTGGATATGTCACGAGTTTCCTTGGTCTCACGTCTCTGTCTTGATGGACCCCTAGCCCACCCCGATTTAAGCCTTTGATGGAGTTTTTAAAGGCAATTATGCTCACAGTTGTAGATTCTTTTTTTTTTTTAAATCTATCTTTTTCAAAACATGGGTGGCTAAATACATTCACTTAAAGTAAAAGACTAGGGATAGTGACTCACTTAAAAGGCAAACATAACGTGTCCATAATATACACAGGCAGCACGCTCACTTGGTGACTGGCGGTGTGGCAAGCCCTTGAACAGTTCTCTTCTGAACAGGTGGTTTAGGGGCACTAGGCATTCCTTGACACCTTCTTCACAGCAGCAGGGAGGGCCAAGCACTGGGGAAGGCTGAAGTCAAGGCCCCATATCATCTGCTTAGAAGCCAGAGGCCACCCACAGCACTCCGTGTGGTCACACTTCCTGGTGGCTGCTTAATCCAGGCTGAGTTCTTCCTAGGCCCTGTCCTTCCCTGAGGTCAGTCAGCAGGCACACTGGGACTCTTTTGCCTTTTAAATTTATTTATTTATTTTTTTAAAAGATTTTATTTATTTATTTGACAGAGACACAGAGAGAGAGGGAACACAAGCAGGCAGGAGTGGGAGAGGGAGAAGCAGGCTCCCTGCTGAGCAGAGAGCCCAATGCAGGGCTTTATTCCGGGACCCTGGGATCATGACCTGAGCTGAAGGCAGACACTTAACTGACTGAGCCACCCAGGCGTCTTGCCTCTTAAAATTTTTAAATAAAGTATTCCTGGCCCCCATCAAATTAGGATGTTTTGGGGGTTTTGTTTGTTTGGTTTTGTTAAATGGTTCTGATTGGCCAAATAAAACAGCCTGTGCCTTAAGGAGTAAGAACCGTGGCTTAGGGTCCCAGAACAGGGATTTTCCCCATCACAATATCCCACAAGCCTAATGACTTTATGAGAAGTAAATCCGTGTGTGTGTGTGTGTGTGTGTGTGTGTGTGTATTAAGGTAACCAGTGGATGTACAGAAGCATTGAGAAGATTGCAATTTTGCCATCTCTTTCTGAATGATTGCTAAATCTTATATTGGTATAAGTAGCTACAGTTATATACATATATATATATATAAACTTAGAAATTTGCCTATCTTAAATGAAACTATTCTTCATTTCTCCATTTCCATCTCTATTGGCCCTCTTTCCCAGGCTCCACAGATTAATCCAAAAGAATATCAGGAGACACTTAAGATGCCTTGAGACCAGATACTTAGGACACAGTTTTCTGACACTGAATGAAGCAGAAAGCCCCTTAGGCATCACTTTCATACTTTATCAGTTTCAAACTCCTATCTGTTATGATCTTCTAAGGTTCACCAGACCTGGAAGCAACTAGCTGAATCACTAGAGTAAAAGAGTAAAATAGTTTGGGTTAGATCTATGAAAATGGTCTACTTA